AATGACTGAATGAATAAGGGTGGTATTAATCTCCTCATCCAACTCACAGCAAGAAAGCAAATAAACGTATTTCCCCAGATGTCCCCAAACTATTCCTCGAATAAAAGGTCGTCCCAGCACACCGCGTAGTGAAGCACAAGTTGCTACTGCATGACTCATAGACACTCGAGCTTTTGTAATGTACGTTTAGACACACTGTCCTCTGTGAGGCCAGACAGGGTAAAAGGCTTTAAGTGCGTCGTATCGACTGAAGTGATCTGCGGAAAGTTTTCACAGGCCTACAGCACCTTGTCCTTACAGGCAGTTGAGAGGGGAAGTCAATCTTAAACCATCACAGCGGCTGCAGAGAAGCCTCAAGGTGAACGAGGATTAAGAGGAGAGGTATGTTAAAATATGCTGCTCTTTTCTTCAAGTGCTTGTTGCTGATGTGGAAGTGTACAACACAGGGTAGTCATAGGTATGAAATGAACTTGACAAGGTTTAATTGTTATTTGAGAGTAAATGAAAGGCAGTGGAGCAGCAGTAGTTCTCTCAGCTTTGGCGTGACTAACAGCCAGTTTTTCAGTCAACACAGGGAATGGATTTGATAAGGTTGACACATTTTGTTACCAGAAAGCAACAGAATATAAAAACCTGGTGAAATAAAGGGAATCTAAGGGAAATTGACAATTGACTTGATGGAGTTACTGCTTTTACAACAGCAGTTTTAAAGTGAAAGCCGAGTGCCATCTAGTTCCATTATATTGGAGAGAAGGCAGACACCTCTACGGCCGATATCTCCAACACTAGACAACTCACACCAAAACAATCTACACTGATAAACAGCACTACAGGTAAGAGGTAAAATATGTATTTTTTAATTTTGGGGGTGAACTGTCCCTTTAAGTCCATTCACTCATCTGTATCTAGTATCCAGACAGATGGAGGCCCAGAGGCAGGCTCTGGACAGAAAGTAAAGTGCTGGTTGAATTTGATTTCAGGCCAGCACTGGGTTCATGTGTGGTTTCATACAGACAGCAGACTGAACCGCTCAACTATCTCTGAGCACTTAGCCTTGAATATCATGTGGCAACAGCAAAGTATTTTCAGATACACCTGCCCAGACTTCTCCTGACTTGGCGCTGAGGGCGTTCAGTGGAGGAGCTAGCAGAGCGACAGGCCAGGCATGTGGGGATCCTTCTACTCATTACAGTCACAGCTCCTCACATGGCCTATATGTGCAGCTCAGTGCGACCATAGCTGTTGAGTTTGTCACCAGCACAAATGTATGTTGTATGTTGCAAGTCCTGGATGGCAGACAACTTTCTTCAACTCAACCGGGACAAAACTGAGGTCTTAATTATCGGTCCTGAAGCTCACAGAGAGAAACTCAACACCAAACTCCAAGAACTGGCACTAAAATCCCGTCAACAGGTGGAAAACCTTGGAGTTATCTTTGATTCAGATCTTAGTTTTGACACACATATTAGAGGTGGCACCAAAACTGGATTTTATCATCTTGACATCATTGCCAGAGTGCGACCGTTTCTCTCTCAAGCCAACACAGAGACACTGATGCATGCACATGTTGGACTATTATCTCAGCACAATGCATGTACAACTTTTGCACAAAACTATACAGTTTTCTATATTCTGAAACAGCTATATTTTTCACATTTTTTATGCTGTAGTACATTTTAAATCTGGCATGTATTTATTTCAACTTTTCCCAGTACTTTATGTCCTCTTAATGTTTTTATCTTTGCTCCGAAAACCAAAGCCAGTTGCTTGTAAGTGAAAACCTACTTGATTTTGACATCTTTTCCCATCTCTGATTAGTGACTGTATACTGTTACAACCCGGCTCTTAGGCTGCAACAATAATGGTTGATGAGACGAGTTTACAAAGAGTTAAGAGCTTCAACATAACAATAAAGAAAAACAGAAAAAAGGAGTGCAGTAAAAAACCTTCAAGGTGCTCTTTGGTGCTGGGGTGATAAATTATGGCAAAAAAAGGAGGTGACCAAGGCACTCTTGAGGTCCAAAGATTAAAAAGCCTTTATTTGAAGTGGCTAATACATTGTAAAAGATAAAATGCACCTACGCGTTGCAGCACACAGCCTTCATCAGGGTGACGAATCAGTCCTGAGGCCACAGGTGAAAACTATATAGGTAATACCAGGAAGTGACATCATGAGCATATGAACAAACAGGTGACCCAAATGAGGGGAAAAAGAGAAAAAACAAAAAAAACACAAAGAAAACAACATCAAAGTACACATATAAACACATTATCCCTGACAATACCAGGAAATAAATACCCTTATAAGCTAAGCTAAATCTAAGGCATGTATACACCGTTTAGATCCCTGCCAAACAAATATACAATCATAAAAAAGGAGAATAATCAATTTCCTCGTTGAGGCCTGGATATGTCATGGCCTTCAGTTGGAAAATCCAAAAACGTTCCCCGTTGTAGAAGGCGCTTGAGACGATCAACCCCCTCCGAGAAGTAGGGACCACTTCAATGGTCATGACTTTTAGTGTTTTGTGGCTGCCATGACCAGCCTGTCTGTAATGTTTAGCCATGGGATATTTGTCATTTGAAGTCCTGATGGCATAAACATGTTCAGACATCCTGTTCCTCAGTCTGCGTTTAGTGCGCCCCACATAAAAACAACCACACTCACACTCCAACCTGTATATAACGTGTGTTACAATTGATGAATGGATGAATGTGGTATATCCTGGGTCCATTAGTGTCTTTAAATGTGTTAGTTTTCACAATGTGACGACAAAAGTTGCAGTTCCCACATGGAAGGTTGCCTGTGGGTCTGGGGAACCAGCTAGGCTTGGTTAAGGGAGCCAGGTCACTGTGTACCAATTTATCCTTGAGGGTAGGTGCTCGTCTGTAGGAGAAGGCTGGGGGCTCTTAAACACTTCAGAGAGCAGGATCACTTTCAATAATGCTCCAGTTTTGTTTTATACTGGCTGACAAAGTATATTTGTTTGGTGTTTTGAGGCCTGTGAGAATGTTTGAGAAGCCTTTTTCTCTCCAGAGATTTGGCTTTGTTGAGGGACTGATTCAGCAGACTGGGCCTGTATCCCCTTTGTTGAAACCTAGCATGCATCTCCATAGCCTTCTCCTCAAAATTCATCATCTTTGTCACAAATGCAGCGCAGCCTTTGAAAGTGTCCAAAGGGAATATTTTTGATCAGACTGGGGGAGGTGAAAACTGTCCGCCCTGAGAATTGTGTTGCGATCCGAACTTTTTCTGTTGATGGTAGTGTGAAGCGGTAACGATAAATAACTTAATAAAGTGTGGGTGTGTGGAAATATCTGCACAGAAAGCAAAAGAACAGCAGCTACACCGTGAGGTAAGAAGGACAATTCTGTTGGAAGGTGCTGAGCTTTTATACCATGAAGCACAGTGGGCCCAGGTGTGGCCCGTGAGGTAACTGACGACCCTCTGCCTCCACCTGCATCCTGTTACACAGAGCACAGCCAGAGAAACAGGCGTACCTGGTGGAGCGGAAGGGTCGTCACAATACTGTCTGCCTTCAGTATATCATTCAGCTTATTTTATGTCAGTCGTGTTTTTTTAAATAATTTATTTCAGTATGTTATGTTTTTTTTGTTTTCTAATGTTAAAAAAGACGAAACAAACATGACAGTGACCATGTTAACATGCCTTTTGTTTAGCAGGTCATGTCAAAAGCCTGTATCCTAGTAAATTTCATGGCAGTCCATCTAATGGCTGTCGAGTATTTTGCAAATGATTGATAGCTTGACTGATTTGTTGCAAGGCTACTGTATTTTGAGCGTTATAAAATGATACTTACATCCACTGCACTGAGTGTTATCCATGTCTGTGGGACAGTTACGGACAAGTGTGATTCAGGCGCTTCACTCCCCTGGGGTATTTAAGCTGCAGGCTGCAAACACTGCCCTCTCTCTCGTTCTTTGTGTGCTGTTAATCTGCAGGTCTGTGCATGTTTAAGTGAAAAGGCTTCTACCACTGTGTTACACGTAAAGTTAACTATGTGAGTGCTTGCTCTCCGAGATGCACCTCCAGAAAGGCTGAGGAGCGATGCCAGTCTGGTGTATGGCAGCAGCCTGAAGTCAACCATCAAGTTAAGTCTAACAACGAAGGACAACTACAGAAACAACCAACGTGAGGCAAAAGTGGACCTTGGCCTGCTCTCCTCCCCCTTGGCGAGTAAAAAACACAGACATTCCCCAGCCTCTTTGGAACCAAAGAACTGACCATTCCCCCTCCGCAACATTAGATTAACTCAGATTTTGATATATGTGTAATTGTTCTTAGCATTGTGTTGTATTTTGCCCTTACATTACAAGGCGTCAAATCATGAAGTGTTGCACCTGTGGCTGTGATGTAGCACTGTACTACGGTACAGTGTGACATCACTTTGACAGATAGTTCCCACTGAACCAAACTGGTCAGCTATGATAAAATCCACCTATCAGACTAAACAATCTCACCCCAAGCTCGATGTAGTGGCTCTTCTGGAGCTTTCGATCACGTCACATGAACTTCATCAGCAGCTGAAGTCTCCCAGCTGTCATGATAATAATCTATCGCTGCTGTCACATGAAGAGCTCGTATTTTTCTCCGTAACAAAAAGCTCCCTTGTTGACTTCACGCCATAGATTTGTGATAGGATGTTTTACAGTTTGGACACTCAAAGGCATCGTTATCAGTTATCGGAGCTGGGAAATCCTCATTTAGCCCACAGCTACAGCATGTGCCCCACGTTAGATGAGTCACTATCAGACAGCGCCTCAACTTTATAAAATTTAAAGGGCCAGTTCACAATTTTTCTCAATCACTGGTAGACATGCACATGTTGTTTGTGATATTTGTCTATGAATTATCTGCTTCACATCTGATACTGTAGCTGAATATAAAGCAAGTCGTGGTCAACTTCTCCACCAATCCAAAACTAACTGTGTGTGTGTGTGTGTGTGTGTGTGGAAAGAAAATAGAATGACACATATTCTCTTTTCAGTTGATTTTGTATTTTTTTATTGAATAAATGATTTTAAAAGGTAATAACAATGTTTAAAACTACATTATCTTCACAGCCATTGCTTACATACTCAGATAACCCATCTATATATATTCTTTCAACCCTCCCCACACTTTTTGTTTTGCAATTTTTTTTTGTTGTTGCTCATTTCTTTTTTTCTTCAGTTTTTTATTTTTTAAAATGTGTTTGTTTATTTTTGTGGTTTTTTTTCTTTTGGAGTCATACTATCATATTAAATGCCCATTTCAAGTCTTGTCACACTAACAGCAATTCAATAGGAAAGGAGGAAGGGTCTAGCTCTACAAGGGGGATGGATTTTTTTTTTGAAGTTCCCAGTTCATATTATCCCATCAACATTTTTCAAGTTACTAAAGCAGAAAAAAAATTCCAAAAAAAAAAAACTGAAAGGAAAAGAAAGAGTAATTGGTATGAGGAGTTACACCAGGTAACCCTCCCAGCCCATCAGGCCACTGCAACAGAAAAAGTCATTTTGTACAGTGACACGTCTTCGAAGTCAGTGTCTCAAAAATTCAGAACATAGAAAACCACTAAAATAATTTTGAAACTAGATCCAAAATATTCTTTTGAAAAGAATTTATTTTGATGTACAAAAACAGTCATTTCCTTTTTTTTATTTTCTTTTTTAAAGTTTTTTTAATAAAAGCTTCAAACACAAGTTTATTGTAGTTCTTATTTCATTTGTCATTATCATTATTATTATTGATTCATTTATTCTTTTTTTTTTTTATTCATCTATCAGTGCGATTGTATACCAGTGCAGCTACTGGGTCCAGAGTAACGAAAACAGGCTTTTTTTCATTTATAATGGCATAAAAAATAAGGAAAAATCCATCTTTTATACAAAGTATAACTGCTGGTCTTTAGGGAAAAAAACATTTATAAACCCATAAAGCTAGGAGGCACACCATGGGATTTTCATTTTTGTAAATTATAGCAATAATAATAATAATAATAATAATTATACTACCACTAATAATAATAATAATAATAATAATAAACAAAACAAGTAACAACAATTTGCAACCATTTTTAACCATCCCTGACGCCGTCTGTGGCTTCAGGGATAGACTCAATGAAAATTCATTGAAAAATTGTGTTGCTCAATAAGTCAAGACAGTTGAGAAATCGCACAAAAAATAAAATAAAATTAAAAGACATAAAGAACATTTTGTCAATTTGCAGGGGTGTCTTTTGGAAGGACAGGAAGCCAGGCCTTAAGAGCAGCATTTGGGCATGGCCGCTGGCATCTTTGGTTCAGTCAAACATACGAAGGTAACACGAGCTTGAGCATTCCACGAAACATGAGAATGACCACAGAAGGAATGCTGAGGCTGAACTCTAACCCTGGTATGGAACCAAAACACAATCTGCTACAACGAACTACAAATGTCGTTCCATAATATCCCATGAGGTATCAATGCTTTAAACAGTTAATCAGTACAGAAGCAGGACTATTTTCTGCGTGGTTCTACGTAAAACATTAGCTCTGCGTCCCGTTAGAGATGCTTACCTTCAACGTAGTACGAGGCAGGCTGCGTAAGCCTCGGCAACAGGACCTTTCAAACCTTGCCTTTTCAGAGGTCAAACGATTCAGCAGCTAAAGGATAAACGGAGGATGTGCTCAGAAAAAAAAAAGAGCAGCATCCAGTCTTCTGGGAGAGGCAACGGTCACTACTACTGCCACTATCTACCGAACGACACACATCACACCTTGACAAACTAGGCCATGAGGTTGGGCCACAGTGTAGGGAGTAATTGAGGGAAGAGGGGGGAGGCTACGTGTGACTTCTTGTCCTTTCAAACCTGCAGGGGTGTTGACTTGCACTGGTAGGAAAAAAAAACACCTGTTGAACAGATCTGCATATATCAAGGATAGTAAAGGTAACACATGTAGGATTTTCTCTTAATACATCACTGTTAAACTGTAATAACGACCATTAACAGTACATTCCATAGCCCCTGTGACGTGTTTGCTGCAGGGCATTTTCCTTCTTCATTATATGTATATCAGTCTGGTTTTCCCATAGGGAATTGATCCCAAAAATCCCACGTTGGTTAACGAAAGCGCAGATTTCTTCTCGGGGCTACTGTTTGTATCAGTGACATTCACATCCTTCAGTATTAAAAATGTGCCGTCATGACTCATTTCACAGCAACATACTACAGAGAAAATCTTACATGCAGCATCTTTAAGTATGATATGATCAATGAGTCCGCATGACCAGTCACGAGCTGTGACCACCCCAATATGAGGTCCGATAGCACCATATTTGTCTTTTAAATCTCTTAATGGTTAATAAGAGTGTCTAAGCCATAGATCAAGCATATCATGGATAAAACCATAGGTCTCATACTCATACATACATGCAACTAAATACATTGCATGTGTATACAAAGACATATATGTAAAATAGCATGGTCAATTTGGTTTTGCAGCAGAAGAATTCAGGTTGTGCTGTATTAAATGGACCAGGAAATGAACGTCTGACTGTTCCTCTGTCAAACTTTTGATGTAGTGTATTCATGAAAGCATACATTTTGCGAGGCATGAAACGGTCTTCCCGTGGTTCAGACATTTAGGGTAACACCACCACAGTGTGCGACATTATTTTAAGAGAATGTGTTTACGGGGGGCTTTCAAAAAAAAAATGAAAGGACTGAGGACCAGCAGCTGGGTAAGACGAGAGCAAACAGGAGACTGCAGGCATACAGGAGCCCCCGTATGTCCAAGAAAGCATTCAAGTGAGGAAAACAACATCGACACTGTGGTGTGGAGATGGAACTGGGAACGAGCGAACCACGGGACAAAGGAGCAGTCGGAGCATCATCTACCGGCCCATCGTTTATTAAATCATTCATTTAAGGCAACACAACTTAAATCTGGGTCATTTCGGGTTACTGTGGATGGAGTGCCAAAAGCCCTTGACATTTTGCATAAAGAAAAAATAACCTGTCAGTTAGTAAAGGCTGTTACGAAGAAAGATGGTGGTCAAGTAACAGGAACCTCTCAAAAATTCCAGTTCGCAAAAAACTAAAGCCGAAACCCAAAGCGAGCGGATCGGGTGACGATCCTCAAACATTCTGGAAAAGTAAATCCAACTAGCCTAACGTGTGTGTGGATGTGACTCACAACAAGTAATATTTGGATGGGAAATGGCTTCTTAAGTCCTTACAAAGCCCTGGCTTTTTTATTTGTAGACCTTTACTGCAAGCCACCCGGCTCCATGCAGAGATTCTGCTCTAACTAACTCAACTGTGTTTGCTCTAACCTACTGCCAAACAGCTGACAAAACAGGCCACGAATCTAAACATTTCCTGTGCCGTGGACACACAAGATCAACGGGATCTCACTGAACAGCAGAGTGTGAGAGGGTAACGGTGGTAGTGCGGTTTCAACAACTAAATTAACTGCTTCAGAATCTGAAGAGCACGACGACATGCACTTCTAAATGACACAAACATGTTAATTAGATCCTTTGTGCGTCAAGTGGCGTGTCTTCATTCAAAATGACAACTTTGATACATCATACTTTGTGAACAAGTGACAATGGTTAGCTATAATCTGAAGAGGCAAGACAATGTTTCCAAAACGACGAGGGCAATATACAAGACGACCGACAAATGACTGAAACCGCCCGGTTAGACCGGTATCAGTGGTGCAGCCTTGCCTGAGGCTGGCTGGTGTTAAGTTTGCATTCAGAGGTTGAAGACCGAATACACTAGAGTTGACCGAATGCTAACACTTCAAGCCAAACAACAGACCACTCTTACAAGGTGTGGAATAAAAAGAGAATATGGCTTTAAGTAGTTATAGCATGTCCCATTCAAGTGACTCCCTGCCAGTAAACTCAGAAACCAACAGACACAGTAAATTTAAATGAAAGCATTGTTCATGCACATTCTTTTTTTTTTTTTTTTTTGTCTTCTGCTCCCCTTCTCCAATGCGGGGGATATCAGACCCACTTGTATCAAATTTCACAGTTAACAAATCCCCTGCACAAACGTGATTATCCTCAGACAAAAATGGCTTCCTCCACAATTACCTTAAAGTTCAAAAACAACAAAAAAAGAGGGAACATGGCTAAAAGCTCGAGCCAAACAAACGCAGTTCAACGTTTACAGGTTCCACCACAAAAACTCTACGAATACTCAAGGGGAAGGTTTCCAAACAAACTCTGTGGGGGAACTTTTTAGGTAAAATCCAATTTCTAAATTTACTCTACTGGTTTTCATTTTGTGGCAGACCAATATCTATATCCACACACAGAAATACACACACGATTGTGAGCTCAAACAATAAACACTACCAGCAAAGGGCATCACAATCCTACTATCTATACTTTGGAGTATACAGATCCCAATATATAGTCCCAACTACAACACTACAAGAGTTTACAAGCAATCTCGACAGTCAATCTTTTTTTTTTTTTTTTTTTTGAGAGGAATCAGAATAGAGACGACACAGCCTTTGAGAACTGCAGTTGCCTTGCTACATGGTATACATGTCTGAATAGTAAGATAAAGAAAAGAAGGAAAAAAATAAGTGTTTTCTTAGTAAATGTAAAATTGTAGCAAAGCCTAAACAATATAAGCGCGAGACTAATCCACCGAAAGAGACTTCCTTCCATCCACAGAATCAAACACCTGATTAGGTTTGCTGAAAAGACGTAAGATTAATAAAATCTAATATTTGTTTAGTTTTCAAAAAATATTAATGGATAGGGGGGTTATAGATATAGGTATACATAATGCTGCAAAAACTTAACCACAGGCAAAGAAAAATAAAGAAATGTGGATTTCTTGCCATAATCAAATGATGCTTCGTTGCCACCCGTTGCCATGTCAACGTCTGGGAGACGGCCAGCATGGCAACGGAAACTATCATCATAAAATGGTACAGTAGTAGAAATAGCTAGACCAGGAGGGGGCAGGCTCTCCTGGGAAAAGGTCCGCGGAGAGGTCCAATGATTGGTCATGCGGCTCGCTGTCAGGAATAATGGTTGTAGGGTGGTAGAGGGTGCCCAATGCCATTCTGGTAGTGATGGTGCTGGCGGTGGGCGATGTACTCTGCATAACCCATTGTCATCTTCTCGCTACGGTACCTGGGGATGAGACAAGATGTGTTGGTAAAGGCTAGCTCACCATGATGGTCACCACAGTCTGAACCAAAACGCAGGACCTACACTTTGACCCTGTTTAACACAGATGGGTCAATACTGGATTTAGGAAGTCTTGGCCAGAACAGTAAATTTATCGAAAGGACTCCACAGATTTAGCATTGCAAATTGTCTCTTTTGAGGTATCAAAATCGATGCAGTACAACCAGAGATATCTTTTTAATTCCACAGATTCTTCTTCCTTGTTAAAACATGGCTCCCACAATGCAACTTAACCACCAATAGTTTATTCGTAGGCTTTTCCAATTAGCACTTTTGGGCAACGCCTGGGTCAAAGCATGCCATGCTGAGTTTCCATAGTCGTTTGAACGGGCTGAGTTGTTTGCCACGCCTGAGATGGACCAACTTTGGGTTCGGGCTAAAAGCGTGCCCGACTGCCTCCATGGAGGCAGTGGTGATGTCTCGCCGACAGCAGCCAACCAGTGACGTCCCAGTTTTCCCCTCAAACAAGCATGTGTCTTGAGACGCAACTCACACCGAAGTCTCGGTGTGATCAGCTCTCAGTACTTATGTATCAACCAACTGAAGCTCTGTGGTTGGGAGAGTAGGGAGTCCTGCCTCTCTGTTTGTACTCAAGGTTCCCACACATTTTCATTTACACAATTTCCAAACTTTTCCATGACTTCTCAAGGACATGCCAGATTCAAACTCTATTAAAGCATAATTCTTAAAAAGAATTAGGAAACAAACGTGCCGGTAAACAAAACTCTGTCACACACAAGCGCAAAATAGAGCTACGTTATGTCTACAGCTACAGAAAATAGATTTGCAGTTACGTTAGATCACGTAGAAGGTTATCCATGTAAGATTACTGTAACATTTCATTACACACAACAGAATTCCATGACTTCAGTGTTTTTTTTACTAATTCCATGACTTTCCCAGGCCTGGAAAATGTGATTGTGAAATTCCATGACCTTTTCACGTTGTCCATGACCATGGAAACCCTGTGTACTTTCAGATATCATTTCCTTATTTTGCTGCTTCACAATAAAAGCTTGGGAATAACAGAATAACAGGACTTTTATTGGGAAGTATTTGTAGGAAACAAGTCTACTAGTACTGCAGGGATGAAGAGTAGAAGCATAGAAGCAGAAACAGCTACAGTGAGATGTTAAGATGAAGATCTGCAGACAACAGGCTCTTACAGCACCAACTTCTTTTACCTGCTGTGCTGTGTGATGGAAACCCCCCCCCCCCCCTTTTCATATGTAGTAGTACACCTGTAAATACTCTGACATACAAAATCAGTAGAGTAACCCTTTGATCAACTTAAGTGGCAGGCAGCAGAATACATACACATACTTGTCCTTTTAAAATTCGTGTCGGCTTCGTGTTCATTGACAAAACTCTTACAAACATTAATCAGGTTAAATATTAGGATTTTGTCTGATGTTTGGGTACATGGATCTAAATGAATGCAAGTGGCAAACAAAGATTACAACAATGACATATTACTCTATCAGCACAACTGTAGGTAAAACAATAAGAGTCATCTCACCTGGTTAACTTAATGGTCTTCCTGAAGTCATTTGTGATGGGAGCTTTGTAACCTCCCTTTCGTAGTAAGGAATCTATGGTTTGAATGTGGTCCCAACCTTCATAAAAGAAGAGTTAAATCTCTTTACACATTCCTAAAAAAAAATCCACATCTGGAGCAACATACAATGTCTTTCTGAACATATATTAATTTCTGGGCACAGATAGAGCTTACCTTGCTCCTTTGCAACCTCTGGTAGGTAGGTGGCGGTGCGCTTTGATCCTTTTTCATTGAAAAACTCTATCCTAATACCGTGAACACCCACCTGAAATTCAAAACATACACGACAAGGCAACAATGTGTTTTTAATCCAATAAATGGCTCTAATTTTGAAACCAAGTGCAGCGTTTTTGCATTTGTTCAAACAGGTCATAGCATAAAACAAAACAACCTCCATATATTGTGTGAACGAGATATAGAGGGAAATGATGACATTAAAGGGCTGGATGAACCTGCAGGCAGCAGGAATCGTCATGTGATCCATACAAAACCAAGAAATGTGTTTTTTTCCTACAATTTGATCAATTTGCCCAGTGTGGACACAATTGTCTTTATAACTTACCTCATCTTCCAGGCCTTCTAACATTACTAATGGTAGACGGCGGGCTGATAAAAGTGCACAAGAGTCTTGTGGACTTTAACTATTTTTTGTGCGGATGGGTCCACAACTGAAGCGACTGCCGTCTTGCTTTTGGTCAGATATCCTGATATCTATAGGTAGTGTGTTCCATTGCTTTGGGGCGTAATTAACAAAGGCCGCATCCCTGATCTTCTTCAGGCTGTTGCTGAGAACCTCCAATAAACCAGCAGCAGATGATCGCAGTGTTCTTAGAGGCAAATAGTTAACAAGGGAGTTAGCGATGCAGCTCGGTCCCAGCCCATGTAGGGCTTTGTATACAAGGAGGAGCTTAAAATCAATCATAAATGTAATAGGAAGCCAGCAAGAAGGGCTAAGACTGGCCTGATGTGCTCTCTCCTCTTGGTTCTGGTTAAAAGCCGAGCTGCAGAGTTTTGAATGAGTTTGGTGAGTGGTGTTTTTTGGGAGACCAGTTAAAAGTGTGTTACAGTAGCCTCTTTCAACTCTGTTCATTGACGCACTGCTGTCAGGCTAACATTACTAGGTAACATTGGCTAGCTTTGGCTACTATTTTCTACTTAATATGTCAACCATTCCCAGGTGTCTGGTGAAACACAGTTTAAAATCTGTGTTGTGGCTAAAAACACGGAGAAGTTGTCCCAGCACATTGTAACTGCATCCAACTCGAAGCACTTTAAACTCAACATTAGTTGACTCTGCTCCTCTAGACTGAAGACAGAGGATTATGATCCACATCTGCTGCCTTGGGTTCTACTATTTTTGGTACTTAGAAGTAGCCTTTTCCCCTCAACTTGGTCAACTGGAACAGCTGTCCCTGTCTAAACTAGGGATGGGCAAACGATCAAAATTCTTTATTCGATCATCAAAAACATTATTGATTAATTGATAAGCGAGTATTTCAAAAGAGAGAAAACAAAAGAGTGCAGTGCAGACTATCGCCGCAAGAGAGCACAACTGCCCCAGTTTTGAGCTTCAACCCCCCAGGCCAAAGAGGAAGAATGGCGTGCACGCGCAGTTCGCCCCTGGCTGTTTACAACCGTTGCCAGCCATGGGTTACAGGCTTCGGTTTTCAGCGAAACCTCCGTCTGTCAATGGCGCAGTGTTTTCAGAGGCCTCAAGGGAAGCCGCCGAAGCTTTGGAGAGCGATGAGAGCCCCCGTCTGTTTATGATTTTTTGCCTGGCATAGGTCTGGTGGGGGGTCTCGTAGGCACAGCGGCTCGCTGGGCCTGTAGCATTGTAGGGGAAACACTGCGACTATCGAGCAAAATTACTTGTGATCGATCAAAATCCTTAACAATCAATCATCGATAATTGAAAATTGATGCCCAACGCTAGTCTAAACCATTTGTGCAGTGTTGGTAGTCTTTACCTCCAGTTGCCTGCCCACATCTTGACAGCACACCGATATATGACGTCATACGTAAAGTAGCTACTAATGGCAGAAAGAGTGAGCATTTAAGCACCACACTTCTTAATGCAAATGTTTTTACCAAATCATGTCTCTTACCTCCCAGTCAAGGTAATCACCGACGTCTTCAAAGTTGGTGAGAAGAGATACTGAGCAGAAGAGGCGAGGCAGCTCATCCCTTGTCATAGGGGGGAAGCGGCTGTCTTTAAGGGCACTGCGGGCAGAAAAGCACACGCAAAATACAATTACAAGAGGTAATTCAGAAACGAGTAATCACAGTCGAGTATGAGGAGTGCCAATTATGTGATGACTGTGTGAAGAATATGAAAATGCGATGCACTCCAATAACCACTGCTTATTGGCCAGTGAGGTCACAGCATGGACTCTGATCATGGCCGTTCACAGCAGCTCAGTGCTGTTTGTATTGTGTGTATCTGTACACAGTACCATCACAGAGCTGCGAGTGTTTACATACATTTGACACGTCAGCTGTGTCTTCCCTCAGGTCAAAAACACACATACCAGGTATTTACAGATGGCTGTTTTTACACTGGAAGACTCACTCTTGTGCTCTGTGCCATTTGCAAGATGACATTAAAATATCAGTAACATAAACCATTTGGATGATACATCAATTTGGGGTTAACCAGTGTCACTGGCTATGACATTATTCTGACGTTGATACACTCATATAAACAGCATTTTTGTTTGGATAATCCGAGTTAGACCTTTTTCCTCTTTTAAGACGTAGGATATGATGGTTTTAATCTGGTTTTAGAAACATTCTTTGAACACGTATACAGCACATTCGGAATATATGTCTCAATTAGGGATTTTTACCACAGTACAAACCGTGTAGCCGACAGTTCACAAGGCTGGGTTTGAGATGCGTGCCCAAAAGACAGGCTGCATTTCTGGTTAGAGGGAGTAACCCACCTACTTTTAAACATTATGAAAAATTTGGATAGCAACAGGCTTTTGGATACACACAAACATCGCAATGTTGACCTTTTCAAGGGGCTGGTTGAAGGAATGAAAAATGGAGGCTGTGTTTGCATGGTCAAGCTAGTCTGCTACTGGAGGAAAACTTTTTGATTCAAAGAGGCAAAACAGCACAAGCGGCCCCAGCCATTCCACTCCATATTTTGACATGATAAGGGACATATCAGGGCATGTTAAGTGGAGTATGCACGCCTGCATGTAAGCAGGAATATTAGTGGAGTGTTGATTTTCATTACCCATGTAAACAACTTAGTGGGTAGACTGGATTTTGGGGATACAGGAAATTACTGCAATATTTTGTGTATGTAAACGTACTCAGTGTGTTCCCAATACAACTACATAAGAACTCTGTATTCTCACAACTTTACATTTTTTTAATTAAACATCTTTATAATACAACATACATTACAGTTGTAATTATCAATACATTTCATTTGTGTCACTGCTTGTCCTTTTGATCTCATCAGCGCCAGGTCATCACGACAAAACACATGGTTTCAGCATCTTTCTGCATCCAAGTCAATGTTAAAGACAAACTGTGTTGCTGGCACACTGTAACTGCAGTTTGTCTGACTGTTAATGACAAATGCTCACACATATACAGTAAACAGTATTCAATTGTCTATATAAATAAATGTCAAAGGAAAACATTCATGGAAAAACCTACTTCAGAACATTAATGACTGTTTTGAATAATTTTTGAAGCCACAGGACCTGGGATCAAAGGAGACACACGCTCCATATGTTTCACTTTAATTTACCACAGCCAGTCCCTCCAGGATCTCGCCGCCCAAAACCCTTGAATTTGTGGCCAATTTGTCAAAAATTGCAGCATTTTTGTGTGATTTTTTTTGAAAAAACGCTGGGAAATTGCGGGACTTTTCAAAAATTGCAAGCCCCTGCAAATATTGCGGACTTTCGTTGAATTTGCGTTAATTATTGCGATTGCAAGATCGCGATTTTCTGGAGGGACTGCACAGCATCACTGTTTCTCCACACTCCACAGTCATGCACCATTTGGTCTACAGCTCTGAAACATAGGAAATAACTTTGTAGTGTTGCTTACCTGGTAAGGGTGTACTCCCTGAGTCCTGAGTGCAGATTCATGGCAGAAAATGTACCTATACAACCCCTCAACCGCTTGTCTCTGCCTATTTTCCACGTGACAAACAGCGGGCTGAAAAACAACGAGAGCACCATGTAAGAGCAGTGACACTTTAATACCTTTCACACTGGATATACATTGCTGTATTGTGTAAAAGTTGGTTAACAGCACACAGAAGTGAACTCCGATGTAGTGTGCCATAGCTGTATTCACATTTGGTAAAACTGGCACAATAGTCTTCAACACCATGATGCATAAGCTTTCATCCAAGAATGCAGACTTTGGTTCATAGCATTGGGCCACACACACATCACATGAATTTCTTCATGCAGAAGGAAGCTCACCTAGCATGCTGAGCTAGCTAAGGATGCCATTGATATTTACATCATGGACAAGCCTCTTGTCCATGAGTAAATACACACTTCCGTCTGCGCGGTGATATGGTTGGAGGGTGTAGTTTGGCTGAAAGAAAATAGTTCCTACACAACAAGAACTGTGGATTATCTTGAGTAACCATGTCATGATTTCTGGAAAGAGACATTGCTGTTGAGTTTTTCAAATGGATTTTTTTGGCGCTTTGAGCACCACAAGTTGAGTGCCATCTAGTCCCATTACATTGGTGACAAGGCAGACATCTCTACGGCTATTATTTCCTTGGCAAATTTACACTGATAAACAGCACTACAGGTAAGAGAAAAAACATGTATTTTTTGATTCTGGCATAAACTGTCCCTTAAAAGGCATCTCATTTGGGTTTGCCTAACTTAAGTTCATGGAATTAAGCACTTTGGAGAACAATACTCAACGTTATGACATTGTTGGCAGGCACCACAGTGGATCAGAACCAAAACTGTGCATAACAGGGATTGCGATGCAGTATTATGTAAATAAGTACAGACACCCTTTCTACACCAGACACCGTTCCAGTCATCTGTCTAACGGGAACAAACACACTTAAATTTTAACCATTCTAGCAGTCTACGCTGGCTTGTATCTGCTCCTGCTTCAATCAAGCTTCACTACTCACTCACTTCACTTTCCTTGTCTGTTTTCTTCTACATTGATTGTGTATTGTGTTGTCATGAGCACTGTCAAGATGATTCAGATTCACTATGACACTGACAGCTTCTGCCCAGGTTGCTCAACAGTAAATGGCAGATCTTATTTTGATCCTCATTGTGTAAAGTTAGTCTGACTTACTGATTTATTGTCACTTGCCCATTGAAGGTCTTGTTCTCAGATGCCAAGTCACATACCATTGCAGGGCTGTGGACTATTTTCTTAATGTGAGCACCGGTCCAATTTTAAGAGCAGCAATTAAATTCAAAAATGACACTTCGATACTTTAGCAATATTACTCGTGTCACTGATTCATTCTTTGGTAATAGACAATGATTCTTCTACAGCAACAAGGCTTGTCTTCTTTTACAGCACCTCATGACACTAATGAAAATTAAACTGTGTAAAGAGAAAGGAGATGAATGGGGAAAATAGCTCAATTTGTTTCCTCTGTGAAGAAATTTTCAATACCTGAACCAAGTCAACTTCGCCGCTGGCTCATACACAATGTTTTGTGTTTAATCCATAACGTCCTACACTGTAAAAAGTCCAATTTTTTAAAAAAGAAACATACATGAGACATTTTCTCTTTGAGCACAACTTAGAATTTTATTTTTAGCTTCTTTATATATAAAACAACTGGTTTACAACATCAAAATCTCAAGTTCTGATTCAATAAATACCAGTGATTAAAAACAAAAATGTGAACTACAAAAGGAACAAAAACATTACAGCTACAGCACACAGGCGCAAATAGTCTTATTAAAACCAATGTGATGTCTAATGGTCATTGCTTTTGAGTCTTGTGTCTTACTGAAGTTTCACCCAGCAGTTCCTCAGAAAACCTCTGCATGCTAACTGTCCTGTGGCTTCATTACATCTTTCCCGGACCGTTTCCCCTCTCCTCTGCCAGTGAGGAAAGGGCGGTGTCTTCTGGTGTTGTCCTCAAAGAGGGGATCAACAGGGGCAAGGGTTAATGTAACACAATGCATGACATGTATTAACCATATAGTGTGTTTGCTGGCTAGTTATTACCTTTGCACTGTAATCTTAAATTTCAGTTGAGTTAGCTATAGCTACAAATTTTAAGTAGCTTACGGTATACGTATCAATGTCAGCACACATAACATTACACAGATTAATTAATATTACCCCAACAGTTAACTACAGTTGCCTTATGAAGTTATACAACCATTCAAGTCAACTACAGTAAGCTAGCTAAATGACCTAACAAGAGATATTAACTTACCTGCAGTAGCGCTCCCCAAGCAGCATGGTTCATTGGTTTTCTTGCAGTCAAAATGAAGCAAAGTATTTTAAAATATATACTGCGTTCGCGGTCCTTGAAGCAGCTACCTATGCGCATATATTGAGTCACAGCTCTCCACATGTGTCCCTCTATTTGGAGGTGAAGGCTTGCTGTTTTTACGAAACGACATGTAAGCCAGACAGCCAGTCTAGACGGCAAGAACACCCACTGTCTCAAGGGGATTCACAATTGCAATGTTTACCATTATGACCTAAAATAAAGGGCATATTTGCAACAAGCATGGGTCCCGTTTCTTAATTTGAGCACCACTGTGTCCTAAAAAAAGATCACAAAATGTGACAAATCATCAGAATCTGAGGCCCTTAATTGCTCACTGGTTAGCTGTGCAGAGCACTGTGTCATTATCAAATGTTGTAGTTGTTCTGAGCATTCCAATAATTCAATCTGACAGTGCCCCCAAGTTAAGGACATGTCGAGGACACCACAGACCATAATTATGAGTTTCTCAGACCTGTGGGAGTTTTCATATTGGGTGGGCATTAGTCTACTACATTCCTGGTCATGACTGGCTGGTTGGCTTTAGACCTTGGTTTCATGTGGTGAGGGTTCGCCGCCATCCCAATGTTTAAACCTTCAAGACTGACAGACTTAGGGTCCATTTAAATGAGATTGATTTTTCTATGGTAGGTTGGTACATTTAAATATTGCATACTTAGATCTACACTGACTGCTTAAGTTAAAAAAAGATTATTTTAAGAGCTTCCAATGCGTAAAACCTTCTAACTCTGTAAGCCCTTTGTGAATACCTTTCCTATGCCCCTGCCAAAGGAAATTACACACATTTTACAGTTGATTATGCTTATGTTTTTACTACCACAATGTTGTTATGATCACAAGACACTACCTAAGATATAGCTATTATTGTGTTATTCAGAGAGCCAGCAGCAAACACTCGGTTTATCAAACTATATCAATTCCTACCTAGGCATTCTAAATCCTGACACCCTTAGGCAATGGCGCACTTATCCTGATTGCACAGGTGACATCAGTTAATGTTTATCAAGGTTTAATGCTTAGTGTGGACACTGGGGCTGGGTCTCAAAAGGGATTTCCAAATGGACACACCAACACTGGGAGATTACTCTTAGGGCACATTCACACCAGGATAGTCCGGGTGACTCGGTTCGATTGGGCGGGGAATGCGGAAAAATTTCACACCTTCATTTGGTTCGGTTCACTTCCACACTGCACTTTTTAAAGCAGACCAAAGCCCCTGGACAGCATTACGCAGTTACAACAGTTGCTCGTTTGGGGGCAGTATTGCCCGAAATGACCATACAAGGAAGGAAAAAAGCATGAGGAAGAAGACGACTGCTCATCGATTGGCCAGGGCCGACAACAGAAATCCGTACCCTACAGTCACATACCTTAATATATTGGTGTCGCAGTTTTTTTTTAACCTTAGATCTGCCGACCGATTAAATCTGCATGCCACCATCCTCTCGCTAAACAAATTCAAAACTGCTTCTCCCGGTTCACGCTGTTGGCTTTGTTTGTTTTTTACCCAAAATGCACTGCACTCTATGTCACTTCCTCTCTTTGGTTCTCTGGATAGTATGTTTGCATTTCCCACTGCAAGCGAACTGCACCAGGGTTCACTTGCAAGTGAACCGAGGTCCCCAGTTTTAAAGTGGATCAGGGTCGCTTGTTTGGTCCGCACCAGAGTTAGAATGAGCATTCACACCACTACAAACGAACTGAACTATCCATGGAAGTGGACCAGGGTTCGTTTAAAGCGGACCAAATAGTACCAGTGTGAATGCGTCCTTAAAACGGACTGGAGAAATATAATGTGGTGGCTCACACTTTTTACTGTGGACTTGTGCATTAATTTTTAGAGGCAGCCATGTATGGAATCAGTAATGTCTGAAAAACAACTAAGAGTGTTGGATCTGCATTTCACAATTATCTCACATATATGTGGTTTGTCCAGCTAACAGCAAAGGTGCGGTACAGTGAGCTGTAGCCATTCTGTCTGTGACATGTCAATTCATTGTTCAGTGTTTGCCACACCACTGTCAGTTGTGAATGGTTCTCATATTTGAATGTGTGAAGCCTCTTGCCTGGAATTTGCTGAGGTGATTTTGAGATAGACTCTGGATAGAGATGTTAGTGTGATAGGTTGTGAGCATACACTTGTTTGACTAAAGGCTCCAACATGTTGGATTTTCCTTCAAAGATCAACATGCCGAAAGCAGCATTTCAACAGACTCATCATTCAATACAGTCTCAGCTATAAGTGCAGAAAAAAATGGATGTGAATGTGCTGAGTATACAGATAAGGAACAACAGAGTATGCAAACAGGGAGTGTTGAAACTGTTTACACAAATACACGACACTGACAACCCATTATGTGCACTGGAAATGTATGCAGCATTGTTTGTTAGTGTGGAAGAGTGTTACACTTCGATTTTAAACTTTAATTTGTCACATGACAACAGAAAGACACACCTAAAAACAACATGAAGCAATTCCCTTGACTTTTTTTTGATACTTTTAAAGTGGTTCGTGTCAATAAGTAACTCCAAAGACTCTTTGCTTAATTCAGGTCAATACACTGGAATACTAAACTGTACTTGCAATTGCACACAATTCCTTTACAACCTCAGAATTTCAGTAAAACGCCCTATAAGTCACATGCTGTTACAATACAATGCTCATCTAAGGTGGGTGCAAAATGTTTCAGTGGAGGGCGTAGGAGTGCGATTCCAGGCAAAAACAACCCCCATACATTTAATTATCTTATAGATTATCTTATAATCAATTTGGACATGACACATACAGAATTATGTTAAGTGAATACTTGGAATGAATTCACACCATATTTGTCTGTTTGCTGCATTAATGTAACACTGACAATACTGTTTGTACGTTAACTTTGGCCATAAAGGATGCTCAGAGCTTCTTAGTACCAAGCAAGAACCACATTTTCTTTGTTGGTTGGTGCTAAACTCGGTTGACGTTAGTTTCTCTTAATTCGACAGTACACTACTATAAAAACCTGCTTTAAAAAACGAGCCAGTGATGTGACATGTCATTAAGCCATAGTATCACAGACTTTTAAAACATATACCATTAAATAAATTACCACAAGCTGATTTGGTTTTCGTTGCTAAGCTAATGTAGCTTGCAGCTAACAAAGCTAAGCCTAGTATGTGGCAACCCCGGGTTCATTGAGGGTAACATAAAAGATTAAGCACACTAACGTTAACTTTTGATGCTTTATATTTTAGCGGTTTGAGTGCTCTAACGTTACTAGTGAAACTGCTGGTGTTAAACTGAATAAATAAGCGATGTTTAATTTCTCATTCCACCCTGTTTCTCTTAGCTTAGCGTTAAGTGTTAGAAGCTAGCTAATGTTAGCTACTAGCAAACAGGCTTAACGTTAGCCGAGTTGAATAAACAGTATCGTAAAATGTCTTTTTCGCCGAGTAGCGACGGGAAATTTAAATGTACATCAGAGCACATCACTCAGTGACATGTGACACAGCGTAATAACATCATATTCAACCATTCATTGAAACGTTAGTGTTGGGTTAGTACAGCAGCGGGCCAGTGCCGACAGTCTGTTCGACAAGGCCCCACAATCCCAACTTGGCCAAATTAAGCTATGATCGCGAGGTTTTCACGTTAAATTCATTATAAGTAAAATGTTGTTTCGATGTGACAGTTTGTGCCCTTAACAGTGAAGCTGAATCCAGAGGCAACCCCATTAAGTGTGCCGCAAAAGTGATATGCTGAGAGGATATACCATTGAGCTTTGACATGCAGCAAAACAACAAAAGGCAAAAAAAATACTCACTAGGGATCATTTGTAAACCTGGGTGTTCTCGGAGGTTGGTATCCGTACAGATGGCAATAAAGCACGTCAAAACAGAAGCAGCACATCTCCGCTGAGACGACCATTTTCCTGCCGCCACTTCCCGAACCAGGTCCCGAGCTGAGATTCGGGGAGAGGCCGGATGAAGTGTAACCGGCCGGGGCTGGGGACAGAGCGTTTGTGCCGCTGCTGCCACTACTACTACTGCTGCCGCTAACGTTACCCCCGGGTCCCCCCAGGCCGTTGGCTCTGCTCACGTTCGCCGCTGCTGCAACGGTCGCGGAGGAGCCAATCCCCAACTCCGAGCCACAATGTCCGGTTCCTGCCACCCCGCTTCCCGCCCCCACCCCGCCGGGACCCCCCGACCCGGGCGATCCCGACAGTTTCTGCTTCTTCACCCCGCAGCACCCGGCCGCCATCTTGGAACAATCTGCACCGACACACCGCTTCCGACCCATAACCGTCACCGCGGGAAGGGTGGGGGGGAACGCCGACCAGACGTAGAAATCCCACTGCGTTGATACGTATGACGGACAATACTCCACTTTCACTCTTTTTTATTTTTTTGTCGGACGACGAAATAACCGATGTGGCGAGAAGACTGCAATGTCACCCTAGCGTTGCCTTTAAAAATGCGTGACTTCGCTACGCAAAATCCATAGCTGGATAAGCGTTTTTTCCTTGAGTAGTCAGCCAGTCCAGCTTTGGACCACGGTGTTCCAGTGGATCACCAATAACGTCAAGTCCCAGCCTAATATTCACCCCTTTTCCCTAACACGACACCATCCGAGGCGATCTCAGTCAGTTCCTCTTAAACATACAAGTTCAGGGAGTGCACGGTCCGAACAGGCCGCAGATGACAGTAGCCAGGCGGTCCAGATGTGAAGCCGACAGCCAGTGCGCTGTAGCCCAGCAGCACACCTCTCCAAGTGGAAGCCGGGAGCTTGAGTACGCAGCAGGACCCATAAGCTTCAGCACAAATTGCGCACAATGTCTTGGACAGCGTAGCTTCTCATTGCACCAGCTTGTTTGCCACTGCCTCACGAACTTCTAATTACACAACAGGCCCAGTATGTTGGAATTCCAGACGCTGGGATAACGCAGAGTAAAATGGCATCTGACAATGCGGGGTTGGCATGGCACAATGAAACGCGTCAGCGCCGAGCAAGTCATTTCAGTAACGTTAGCCCACAGTTTGCACCTGCATGATGTCTGCTCTTGGACCTGGTTACCAGAAAAAATCTCAATAACAGCCCCGCGTCAGATGTAGAGCTGAAAGTTTTCAGTACAGGTTTGTTTGGAGGTTGTCATCCGTTTATGGGGATACATATAGAAGAGCATTCTAGTCCGTGAGCCGTGAGAAATCCTCCGGGTTTGGCAAAGCTCGCTCCGCACCCGTCTCTCAGCTGCTACCATTCAGTGCTGTTCGGGTAAAAGCCCTGTGATCAGTCTGTGGGCACAAGCATCGGTGTCGTCGGCACGCCGGAAGCGGATTCAGCAACTGCGTTGCGCCCAGTTGCTACACATTCTGCGTAGCTTCTGGGGGTATCAAATTTGCAATTCAGAAGAAATGTACGGTGCCGTGGAAGCATGCGCGCTCCCGACGCATGTGTGCGTGCATGGAAAAGTATCAGTATCCCTAAGCTATAAAAGGGATAGAGCCAGAGTGGTCTCTCTGCACTGGGCCTCTCCTTTAGACTGTTTGCTTTTAAGGGAATTGATTTGCCAGAGTCTTTGTGCTTCACTGAGGTGATTTATCCTCTGTGTGTGTCTCTGTGCGTTAAGATAAAGGTTAATGCTTCCTGTTAAAGTAACTTGCAGTGTTGGTTTCATTCCAAATAGCTAATATGGAGTCTTACATATCATGTGCTGGTGCTCAGGGCTGCTGGTAGACATTCTGGGCCTCATGACCACAGCTTATCTGGCTCCCTGAAACAGTAAATGAACATAAGTACTGTAATCTCTTCAACTCCAATGGGCGGATTATAAGACAATGGGCCCCTGGGTGCAGATATGCAAAAGGCCCCACCTCCTCTTCTTTATTTGGAGCAAGACTCACAGACTTTATGGTTTTGCCTCTTTATTGTCATTGTTTTGCATCTCTTTGTGGTCATTATGCATCTTTTGTGTGTCTTTGAGGTCATTTTGTGGTTATTTTGTGTCTCTTATAAGTTCCTTTGCATGTCTTTGTGGCATCTTTTTGAGTCTCTTCCTGCTTGGTCAAGCGGGATTATACTTCTGCCTTGAATTGACATCGTAGACTGACATGCACCTCCCCAGAAATGTAACTACACGTCACGTCGAAGCAGACCACATGTCTATTTTTGTAAGCTGAAACCATTTCCCTCAGTGGAAACAAACTTTGATTTACTTTTATTTTGCAGATAAGAAACAATAAATTGTGAAGACAATACAGCCTCCACAAACTAGCATTTTTTGTGTGTGATTTATCCTGGCTTTACAGGATAATGTAATTATGCTAATTTTTACAATGTAAAATGCCATAGGCTTGTGCTAATAATGTTAGCATATTATATTTATTTGGAAAAAATGTTCAGTATCAGACAGTTGTTTTGTCAGTGAACCTTGTGAGTTCTAATGGAGCCGAATTTTATGATGTTACCTTCGTTACATGTTGCTGTTGTCCCTGGCTTTATATGAGTAAAGGAAATCTCTGCTAGCTGCTAGGCTAATTTATACAACTTAAAATGCCATAGGCTTGTGCTAAAAACATTAGCATGTTGTATATGTGGGGAAAACGTGTCCAGCAAAAGACAAGTGCTTTGTCTGTGAATCTTGCAAGTTATAGTGAAGCTGATTTGTGTACTTGTAATTGAAAATGTTGCTATTAAGCCATGTTTAATGTGTGTGTTGAATCAGCTAAACTTGACCAGTGTTTTGGAGGTGTAGCTGCAGAGTGACACAGACCCACCACCGCACAAATATAAATGCTCACAATGGTGTAGACTACGTGTGTAGGCTCTGCATACAGCTGATGCACAAGTATAAAAAATCCACCTTTACAGTAATTTGAGTGACATTTCGCAGATGAAGGCTAGACGCCTGACACTTGTACCCCTGGGCCTGTGCCCAATAAACCTGTTCAATAATCCACCCATGCCAACTCCATCATTTTCAGCCCCCCCCCCCCCCCCCCCCCCCTCCCCCCCCCCCCCCCCCCCCCCCGCCTCCATAAATGTATCAGGAAAGAGAGCAGTGACCATTGTTTAAATGTCAGTGATTAATACACATGGTAGAATCAGCTGATGATGACCGTGCCCTGACTCACGAGGATGGATGAAACATCTCGACACTGAGATTATAAAATGCATTTGAGGGTGCATTTTCCTCCTCTCTCATGCATTCAAAACACTCATGTTGAATAAGCTAAATACCTCTTGGGATTAACTGAATTTTAAGCAACATAAGGCTGACGGCTGAAACAGCTTCTCCTGAAATATGGATTCAAGGCACAAATGACTTTGTTGTTTTTCCATACTTGTTCTCCAATTGAATTTCTGGGACGTTTTGTCAGGAGAGATGTATTTAATCATAACTCATCCTTCTTCAAAGCTTATGGGCCAAATTTGATTGTAGAACTTGGGCAAAGCTGCATACTTTGGGGAAAAAATGATTAGGCCAAGACAGTTTATAGTGTCCATACAATAAAATGATCTCAGAGGAAGGTGCTCCCTATCGCTCAGCATTTAAAGCCTCACTGACAGCACAGAGAACAGCATCAGTATGATAAACTTGAGAGCAGTCTGTAATATCCTCAGTGCTATTTGCTCTATGTGCGGTGCTGATTCTCATAACAGGAACAGTGCCAATTAAACTGATGTAAACGTCTGCAATATTGCCGCGCCCAAATAGTACTTGCGCTTATATTAACCTGATCTTAAGGGTAATGTGCATTCAGTGTCCATTTGCTTTGTCTTTACCCCCCATTTGCTGTCATGTCCGGACATATTTGACTTTATCATCCAGGCCAGAGCAGTAAACAGTAACCCCGCAGACACCCCTCCCATAAAGTGCCTCATGACTGACTCAGCATAAGGCTTCAGGCCTGTTTTAAAATGAATAGCTAATTACTGTTGGCTCTTGTGGTTATTGAGTGAGCATTTGTCTGGTAACAGGCCCTCTTGAGCTGACTAAAGTACATATTAAGGGTTCAGGTGCAGCTGTCATTGTTCTGCATGATTGAGTTCCCCCGTTTTTTAATTTTTTTTTAATTTGATTGTAAATGAGGCAATTGTTCAAAGAGACTTGGGCATCGCTATTGCAGGAAGTGTGGAGCCATGCCATGGAAATATCTATTTGTAATCAAACCAAATCTACTCACTTCAGAATTGTACGTCGCACATATATAACACCTGCTGTCAAAAACAAAATGGATGCTAATATTTTGTCTCTCTGCTGTAAGTGTAACTCTGAGTCTGGAAGCTACAGTCAATGGCTATGTGTGAAAGCTAAAGCTAGACTCTATGTGCCTCTCACTGGGTCACCTGGATGCTCATGTTACAAATATTAAACATAAGAGACTCTTCAATCTTTTGACTTTTGCTGCCAGGAAAAGTATTCTGCTCTTCCGGACCAAGGATGCTGCTCCAACAAGGAAGTCATGGCACAATCTTTTAATGCACTGTGTTCCCAATGAAGATATCTCATGTATGCTTCATTTCTCAGCAGAAATTTTTTATCAAGTCTGGGACCCTTACTGAAAGTACATTGGGCATACACTGTCATCTTCCATATTACAGGGGTTTCCTAATTCGCCTCAGCCAGTATCTGTATGTTGCCGGTAAATCAGTCTTCTTGTAACCTTGCAATTTGTCTATTTAGCCTATTTATTTGTTTGTTGCTGCTTTTGTGGTTGTAGGAGGTAATGAAGGTTGGGGATGGATGTAATGCCCACTATTTATTTAATTTAATTTAATTTAATTTAATTTTTGTCATGTCATTTCCAAGCTGCTTTGTTCTGTGCTGTATGTAAAAAAAAATGTAATAAATGTATTCTTAAAAAAAAAAGATTTATTCATTTTTATGAAAATAGAAAAGACCAAAACTTACCTGATGAGTAAACAGAATAATGTAGAAAAATGTCCTCAGTCATGTAGTGATATAATGCAATACAGTATCATAGCTTTATTGTCATTATCAGCACTGTAAAGTCATGAAGTCTACGGATTAATTAGCTCTTATGAGGAATTAGAGCAATGGGTGACCCCTTGCTAATATTTCAGTGATAAAATTCTCCTACAAAATACTCTAATTTTCTCAAATTAACTAATTCTCAGCAAAATTAATTATTATTTTAGCTACTTTAGTTAAATTGCAATTATTCTTATCATACATTAAATTTTCCGCAGTTAATGGGAAACCCCATCGTAGACCGTTTAGCTTAGCAGAGCATGAAGCTGGTATGTACACATGGCTTAGTGCAGCTGAGCGGAGTGTATCCTCTTCAAAACCCCATTCATGCACCCATTGGATTTTAGCCACGGATGACTGCAATGCAATCCACCCCGTGCAGATTATCATCTGAAACTACAACAGGAAAAGAGGGAAGCAGGCTGAATTTCCTCCCATTCCAGCCACAGTATTAGTGGGCACTGCTGCTCAAGGTCAAGGTGGCTTTATAAGCCAAATAGGCTGAGCTGAGCGCATTATTGTTGGCATTTTAATCTCCCCATTTAAGAAAAAAATAAAATAAAATCCTCACATGCACAATCATCATTTAGTGAATATATATATGGAGAGATTAGACCGGTTTGTTCCATTCATTCACTGTCTGTTCTATTCTTGGGAGCAGAGGCAATCTGGCATGTTGTTATTAGGCCTTGTGGTGGAATTTCCCGTAGCAGCAGGACTCACTCGCCTCTGAGTCTGTGTGTACAGTAGCTGACTGAAGACGGGGAGTGAGCCATAAACAGAAAGTTCAAGTGAAACACAGGTGCTTCGAAAAGTCAGAAACACAAATAACTATGGTTGAATAGTAATGAGTTTGAATGGGACTAAAGGAAATTTAAACGATACCTTTACTCCCCTGTGGCATATAATGGCTATATATATCAGCAGGGGTTTGGTCAGTATCAGTGACTCAGTGATTACTTCTCCAGTCTCCTGCTGGGATTCCCAGACATCAAAACAATCATTTGCAGTTGGATAATGTCGTGTTTTGGCACCAAATACCTCCGCCCACTGGAATGTCAAAGCACTCTGAGCCCCTCCTACCTTGTGTATTACCTCAAATAATCAATATGATGCATGTACAAGCCAGTGACTGCCATAAAAGACATTTTGCAACATGATGCAGGACATGTCACTCCGTTGTTATTCATTCCTACTGTGAAAATGTGACTTCATTCTTCGGGGTCACCAGCATCTGTCACAGGAGGGTGGAGGGTGGAGGCTGAGCCAGACATCTGTGTTGGAGGGGATAAGCTCTATCAATGTTGTTACAGCTCCCAGTGGTCACAAGGTTGACAAAGGTCATGGGTTGCACATGTGAGTGAGCGTTTCTCCTGTACATTTAATAT